AGCTGGACCAGCCTTGGTGCCGACTTCCAGCTCATACAGACAGGGGACAGGGGCAGATTGTTTTAAAGCAGGTCCAGCAGAGAAGATGCATACAAATGAATTCCGATGCCCCGCATAGTGTTGACTTCTGGGGTTATGTTTACCATCTTCCCATTCGTGTTTCTGTGCCACAAAACATTTCTTCGACATAGTTCCTAGTCCTTAAACTGGGTTATTACTAGCTACTGAGCTTCCCCCCCCCCCAGGAATACATGCTCGTGATAGAAAACTAGGGTATGGGAGGGAAGCAAGAAAAAAACTGAGAGACTGATCATATCCCCACCACTCTGAGGCCCCTACATTGGAGCCAATCATGATGACCAGAACCTCAGAACCTCTTCAGTACGTGGTTGTCTTGGGGGCCAGGAGGACATGGCACGGCCGAGAACTGTGATTGGCAACAGTGATTCTGTGTTCTTGGCAGCAGCAGCAGGAGTCCAAAGGACAGCAAGGAGGCCTTTGAAATCTCAGGCCAGAGATAAAGATTACTATTTAGGGATTCTCTTTCTATCTATCTCTCTATCTCTCTATCTATCTATCTATCTATCATCGGTCCCTCCTCTCCCTCTCTCCCCCCTTCCTCACCCCTCTTCTCCCCTACTTATTCTTTTTTATTTTTCAGGTGCCATCTCAATCTCATCATGGGTACAAGCTCACTCATTAAGCTACACTTGTATAACACAGCAATGACTGTACATTTCATTCTGCTCTGGACTAAATGATTTGTGATGCTGGGCACTGTGTCTTCTCCATACTTGAACTTCCTCACCTACAAAATGAGGATGGCGATAACGTTTTACCTCATGGTATGGTAAGGGAGGGTGACAAAGAAGTCGCAAAGCGATTTGCAGACATGAAGTGTCTGTGAATTATGCACTGCTCAAATAATTCCATTAGCGGCAGCACAGCCACTAAAATGGAGCGGTTCCATCGAGGCTCCGCCAAGATAGATAATGTAGAGAGAGGGGGGCCATCTTGGTTGGGAACTAGAGCGTAGCTATCTGGCTGAAGCACATGGGGTTCGCTCCTTCCTTTGAGCCCTCCAGAGGAGTTGCCTCCTTCTTATTTTTTACCCAACGCCAGACTCACTTTCTCTCCTCCACGGTCAATTTTGCAAAGAGCACTTTCATTCCTGTTGCTTATGACCAGAAATGATGGAACGAGGAGACCACGGGGAGGCTGAGGGCATAGACGCCTAGAGCAGTTCACCTCTAAAGCAGGCATGGAGTGACTGCAGTCGGTCTGCTCTAAGAGCTCTACGATCATTCCTAGCTGTACATGCTCATGTTGGGAGAAAGTCAGATTCTTTAAGCCTTTAGCGTTCTCTCATGTTTAGAGTGAAGATAAGTATGATAGAGAACCCACCTCCTCATGTCAGGGTGCAAAGCTCATGGATAGCCTCTGGATTCTGAGTGTGTATCCCGTTGGGACATTTCCCAGTATGATCTTGCTTGGGTCCTAGATTCTAAAGGAGGGAAAAAAAACAAGTCCCCCCCCAAAGCATCTCCATGCTTTTCTTCTTCCCCGTGCACAATAAGAGTCTCTGCCAGAGAATAACAAGTCCTTGCTCTCGGTATGTCTAGAGCCAAGCCAACAACAAGGGTAATGGCACATCTACAAGGGTGGCTTGTTCGGGGCCAAGAAACAGAAAACAGAAACCTAAGATTTCCCCAGCTGCAGCCCAGCCTGGCATCTCCCTGACACCTGACAGCCTACCGCTCTTCATGCTGAAGGCCTGTTGTGACTCCCTAGGGAAACAGCCCCGTGTCCCCCATTTCTCTCCCCTGGACCCCAGGCTTTTCCTTTCCTCTCTAGGTGGCCCGTAGGCCCGCTGTTGTGTGTGTGCCAGAATGTCTGCCTTGTGAGTATGATGACGCCTTCGCACAGAGATGTCCCAGAACCACTCTGTGCCCCTTCCTTCCCCGCCCACCCCACTGCCCACGGTGTGACTGTTTTGCTATTTAAGACTATCTGTAAAAATGTACAAACAAAAGTGAAGGCCGAAGATAAAGGGGAGGGGTATTGCAACTGCTCAAATGCTGTAACGGAGCCCTCAGTTTTCGGAGGACTTGTAAGGACTGCCCTGGAATCCTGACTCTGATGGCACTTGAGGGAGGGATGCCTGTCACAGGAGAATCTTCTGGTTGTTTCCCCGGTGGTTGCTCATGCTTGCTTGTTACTCTCTGTTCTGAGGGCATCTGCCTTTAAAGTTAAGTCACTCTCCCCCCCACCAAATAAAAGCATCCAAGTCAGAAGAGTGAAGGTCATGGCCAACGTCAACTTAAAGACCTGGCCTGGGGTGGCATAGGGAACTTTGTTAATAGCTCACCTGGAACCTTGGGTAAATCTTGTAACCTCACCATGTATCCATGTCCCCTCAGCCTCACAGGGAGCAGGGTGATCTTGGGGACTCATGAGACACCAGGTCTCCCCCCCCCCCCTTCCCGTCCATTCTGCTGCTATTTGTGGCCCATGCTGGCTGTTGCAAGCTGACTGAGCTGGGGCAAACCAGGAGATGCTTTTTCTCCCTGTTGCTCTTGGTCCAAGCCGATATTCCCTCAGAAAGTAAACCTCAAGCCAGCAGCCAGCTGGTGCGCAGAGTCCAGAGCCTTTTCAGTCTCAGATGCCTTTTCCCCCACCCACTTTGATGATCTCGTCCTGCTCTCTCTCTCTCTCTCTCTCTGCTCATGACAGAACTTCGCCTCATAGGACTGGGGTAGGAGAAAGAGCACCAAAGGAGAGGACGTGAGGGAATCGCTTTTACCAACTGTGGCTTGCTCTACAAATGTGACTTACTGCGGGCTGTGGGTAGAACAGAAGGCTAGATAGACTAAGAGCTTAACGGGAACTTCGGGATGAAGGAATGTCTGTGCTTCCAAAATCCCCTCAGCACAGCGGCAGAGAAATATCCCCAAGGCAGTAACCCTGGAGCAGGAGGGATTAGGACAGCACAGGACATGGTTAATCAATCCTGGAGTACAAGTGGCTGCCAGAGAAGAGTAGTTTTTCCTGAGGGATAAACAAATTCGGCCTGTGCCAACATCCCCTCAACTCATGGCTATAAGCACCTTCGGTCTACAACTTCCTCATCCCTGAGGAACCTTGGTGACCCTCTTTGAAGGTGATTTAGACCGCTGCTGTCCGATAAAATTTGATACAAGATATGTGTGCAATTCAAAATATCTCATGAGCTGCATTTTAAAGTGTTCGACAAAACAGGTGAAATTAATTTCCATACTATATTTTAACCCAGCATATCAAAAATATTAGCATTTCAACGTGGAATTGACATAAAAGTTACTGTCATGTTTTATGTTCTGGTTATTTCAAATGAAATCTAAATCCAAGGTGAATTTTACTAGGAGCAAGCGTCTCCAACTGGCTCAGCCACAGTTTTAGTGCTCAAAAACTGAATCAGGTTTCTGGAAACCGGCTAGGGGAGCACAGTGTCAGGTCTTTCCAGAGGCCGAGCGGGATGCCCTTACCAGACAGTCACTCACCGCTGCGGATTTCACTGTGGGGGAACAAAGACAAAGGCTGATTTGCTGAGTAGGAAGCAGATCTGTCTCCACAATGCTGCCTCACCTTTGGAAGTTCTACTTTGCCTGCTTAGTAAGGGGAGAGAGCTTCTATGATCCATCTACATGCTGTATCTGCCCCAATGGGCATTAGTGCTATCCCTGGACACAGCCCAGATGACCTGTCAGAATCCTAGGGGGAAAGCAGGCCGTGCCCTTCAGCTGACCACCCACCACCCACCCTATCCACACAGATGTCTCTCATGATAAGTGATAGACAGGCCTCCCCTTTGTTAAGAATACACATCTCTCCTACCTCTTAACATCTGGCGGAGTCTCCTGCTACAAACATCTCACTCATACTTGGAGCTGTCTAGCCCATCCTCCGATGTCTTTGATTTTTCTTCTTAAATCCTGAATGCTGAAAAGGAGATATAGGAGAAGAGCAGCAGGCAGACTGTGTCTCCTAGGAGGTGGCAGAGACAAGTTCTGTTCTCACGCTAGGACTCAGGCCACCATTCCCTACCTCTCCTTTCTGCTTCGAGATCTTCCTAGAGAAGCTCTTTTGTGTGGGAAATAGACAGATAGTGAGATCTTAGGGCACAGAACAGAATAAATACAAGCAAGCCCCTGGGCATTCTCCAGTCATTTCAAAGAGCCAGTGTGATACAGCTTGATTCACTTAAAATCTAACATTCTGAGCCCTATGCTGCCGAGCAGGAGAAAGGGAGCTGATTTGGTGAGTTTTATCTGTGGTCATTAGACAGGGACCATCGCCGGCAAAACTCTCAAACACCTGGCGTGTTCATGGTCCGCCAGATTATTGCTCAGTCAATAAAAATTTATTTACTTTCACTCTAATTTGCATAGTGCTTTCTGATTGGTTAGAAACAGTGTGGTGTATACTGCAGGATTCTAACAACAACTCTCCCCTTGGAGGTAGCAATTCCTGTGGTTATTGGTGCTAAAATAAGATTAAATATTATGTTAATTTGTTCTGATATGATGTGAATAAATGTATTGTTTAATCTTAACAAGAATGCTACATCTTATCAGATCTATTGTACTGTCTGTTTCTTCTCATAATTAATTAATTACAGGAAAGATGATCCAAACCAGATCTCGAAACTCTTGTGATATTCTAAGAGAAACTTAACAGGGAAGTGGGAGGGGGGATGAAAAGGGAAATTGCCAGGTTCCTGTGACTTTGGAAGGACTGAGGAAGCAGAGAGCATTTGGGGACTTCACTGAAACTGACTGCATCTTGCAATTTTCTTTTTCAAATTGGCAGAAATATTGTTATTTCCATCGACTGAAGAAAAAAAGTGTCTGGTAATTAATTAAATGACTTGTTCATGGAAAAAAATAAAAATAAATAACCTGTCAGTTGTGGAATGTAAACTGATTAAACAATTAAATAAAGAAGACCATGTTGTGTTTTAAGAGGCGGTGTCTGCTCTCTGTTTGGGGGATGGGAGGGTGTGGGAGGGTACAGGCTGCAGGGTTTCATGGAGAATGGGTGGTGTTCCCTGTAAATTGTATGATTCTTACACCGCTGGTTGAAAACTCTAATCCAGAAGGAAACTGCCAATAGACATTTCAATAATGTGCCGGTCAAAGGCCTACGCTTCAAGCATTAGGGAAGAGACAAAAATGTGTAGGCGGATTGAAAGAGAAAAGAGAAGAAATTTGTTCTTTTCCCCCCATCACAGACATTAAGAACAAGAAGTTTAAAGGCTTCATGAGATGTTGCAGTTGCTAGCTACATCCCAGCCCCTTGACCAATTTCCTAGCTGCCAGCAAAGAGGGAAACTTCTTAGTCTTCCCTAGCTTGGTCCCGGACTTAAAAGTCGCATTTCCTTTCTACCCACCTTCTGGCATACTCATGACAAGGCAAACTGGGAGACAGCAAAGTTAATTGGAGGCAAGTGCTTTTAAAATGAGTCTTATTTCTCCATCAGTGTCTCTAGGTTTAAAGGAAGAAGACTGGCTTTATGTGATATAAGTGGAAAATGAGTTTCCTGAAAAGACATGGCTAGGTAGAAGCCTGGGCTAGCCAGACGCCCATCCTGGTGTCGTCTGGACAACTGGGATACAGTTGTTGGACTCCAGACTTCACCGATCGCCCTGCTGTTCTTCCTGCTTCTCCTGCTCTGGGGATGCATGGCTACCCCTGTCCCGGCTCCTCTAGAATAGTCTCCCTGTCACTGCTTTGGGAAGACGCTAGTTTTTAGTTTATAATCCCCATGTGGGTGCAGCATGGAAGGAAGGTAGGGAAAGCTTCTCCTTTAGGTGGTTAACTCACGCTGTCACTCAAACCCTTCTAGTAGACTATTCCTCGGATATGGCTCCTAAATGGCCAAAGAGGGAAAGATGCCCCTTAGAGAGGGACACTGCAGGAAGAGGAAGGATTCCTGAGTGAGAGGTACCTCACTGTGTCTCTGTGGCACACACAGAGTGCCCGCGTGGCTATGAGACAAAGCATGACCTTTGTGATAGCTGCCCTAGCTAGAAGCTTCTGTAGGGAGGTATGTTCAATCTGGACACTGTGAGAGACTCAGGATTACTCATGTATAGCTGCATGCATCTAGTCTGATAAAAAAAAAAAAAGCCAGGCGTTGGTGGCGCACGCCTTTAATCCCAGCACTCGAGAGGCAGAGGCAGGCGGATCTCTGTGAGCTAGAGACCAGCTTGGCCTACAGAGCGAGTTCCAGGACAGTCTCCAAAACAATACAGAGAAACCCTGTCTCAAAAAACAAAAAAGAAGCTATGGATTTTTGTTTTTAAAGAAGGCATCTTGAAGGTAATAAAAGTAAACAGAAAAAGAATCATTTCAAAAATAAATGCTGGTCAGAGGTGGGTGATGTGCCGTAGATTCTGGGAAGGTATCCTGAGTGCAGAAACACCTGAAGGAAATCATGGACCAGATTCCCAAGTGGCAAAAGCGAAAAGATCTTAAGTGAGCATCTCATAGGGAAGGCAGGAGGGATTTAAAGGCCTCTTCCCACTTGGCAGAGGTGATGGGGCAGGAACCTACATCTACCAGATCCCAAGACTCAGTGTGGCAGGATTCTGACCTGAGGGCTGGGCGGCACCATCAGCATCAGCCTGAGGCAGACCAGTCCATGCAGCACTGCCCAGGGCAAGCCTCAAAGAGCATGACGCTCTGTCCTCCTCCTTTTCCCAATAAAACACAACCCTGATTTCTGTGTCTGTGATGAATTATGCATCCCTCTGGGTTCAGGAGAGAACTGGGTTTGGAGGAGATGCACCTAGCTCCGCCCCCATCAACTCAGCCCCAGTGCCTCCGGGCGCATATCCATATGCTGAGAGCTGTTAAGTCATTGCAGAGAGGCAGCTCCAACATCTATAACCAAGTCACAGAATACTAAGGGTGGTCCCTGGAGAGGCACTCTAGGAAAACGTCCTTCCCTGAGTATTACTCGATAAGTCCCTTTCCTGGCCTCATAGAGCTACACTGAGTCTTGTAGTTAGAGCTGGTGGGTGAAAGGACTCTCTTAACGAGAAGGGATGCGGGCCTCTGTCCATACTCTGGTGTGATAATGCTTGGTGTGCAGTAAGCGCTCTGTAGATACCGACCTGAAACCCACAAATCTCCCCTCATCTACCCACCCAAGCTGCTCTTCGGTGGCTAGTGTTAAACCTTTTAAGCGTTTCTCTGGGAATCCCCCCAGCCACCCTCTGGTTCAGTGATTTTGCTTGAACGATACAGATTCAAATTAGCAGGAATCAAAGACGCGCGGGGCCGAGTTCAGAAGGGGCCCAGATGCGCACTATACAAACAGCGTTGAATTCTCACAGCAGTGCTTGGTGACCACATCCAGAAAGAGCTGGACACCACAGAACTTTAACCGAGCTTCTAGGGAGTTTAGAGTGCTCCGGGTGAACGTGTACTCGCCTGACTTGATTACTTTTTCTTACTGCTGTGACAAAAAGGTAACTTAAGGAAGGGAAGACACACAGGCAGGGCTGTGAGGGAGCTGGTCCTGTTTCACCCACAGCCACTGAGCCAAGGAAATGAACGACAATACCCAGCTCACTTTCTCTGTTTCATTCACTATGCTGTCCAGGACTCCCACATTCAGAGGGGGTCTTCCCTGCTCTGTGGAGCCTTTCTGGAAACACCTTCGTAGACACTCCCAGAGGTATGTTTTCATATTGATCCTGATAATGAATATTAATCATCAATATTACATAGTCTCTAGCCCTGTGTATTAGCTACTTTTATGCTGCCATAATAAAATACCATGGACACAGTCAACTTATGAAATAAAGGTTTTATTTTGGCTTATTGTTCCAGAGGGATAGAGTCCATCATGGTGGGGAGGCGTACCATCCAGCCCCAGCCATGATGGCAGGAGTAGGAATTTGAGAGATCACATCTAAAGTAGCAAACACAAAGGAGAGAGAGAGAAAGAGAGAGAGAGAGAGAGAGAGAGAGAGAGAGAGAGAGAGAGAGAGAGAGAGAGAGAGAGAGAGAAGCAGAATGAGGCTATAAACTCTCAAAGCCGGCCTCCAGTGATATACTTCCTGCAGCAAGGCTGTGCAGGTTTTAGAGATACTAGTTTAAAAACATAGCTTAGCAAGTATGCGGAAAGTCTATTGTGTCATCTATATGGGGGCTGGAGGTATAAGGGGAAACTGGATTTAATCAGAATGTGCTGTATGGAGACCACATAGACCTCCATCAACATGTATAATTAATGCATGTTAATCCATAGTAAAAATTATAAAAAAGAAACTTGGTTTATGTGGGGGTTTGAATGACAATGACCCCCGTAGGCTCATACATTTGCATGCTTAGTGTCCATTTGGTAAACTGATTGGGAAGGATTAGGAGGTGTGGCCTTGTTGGAGTAGGTGTGGCCTTGTTGGAGTAGGTGTGGCCTTGTTATAGTGGGTGTGGCCTTGTTGAGGGAGCTGTCTGAACCTATGGGGAACATTCTCATTCAAACCACCATGCCGAGCTAGAGGTAAAACTGTTAACACACAGTCAAGGTCTCTACAATTCACCACAATATTGCATAAATGTTCTCTTACGACTCAGGATGGGCCAGGTAAAGGAAGGCTTGTCCTTAGAGACATGACATTCTAAGGGCCTAAAGGTTGTTTCCCAGGAGCCAGCCGAAGGCTAGACCTTTTAATTGAAATCAACCTTTTACTGCGCACTAAGCTACGAGATTAAGTTAAAACAACAACAACAACAACAAACACCGTATTTCCTGTCCATGTTAAAGGTCATCCTCAGGTATTCAAATTCCTCCTTTTTTTTTTGTCTTCTACAGACCAATCTAGTCTTGGCCTTCTTCATCTGCTACAGACCAACCTATCCTTGGCCTTCTCCACGGACCAATAATTTGAGGTTCTTTGTCTGAGTGTCTCCTTTCTATCTGCTTCTTCTAGGGCGGCTCCCTGGACATTCGCAGAATGCTGGAGTTGGATGGGTATTCCAAGAGCAGAGATGCACAAGTCTTTAAGCAGATCTGAATTTGAACTCCTCTCCATATAAGCTGGGTCATGCAGCCTCCTTATAAAATGGGTATAGCAGCACCTACCTTCCAAAATACCTTAGAAAAGGGAAGAGTCAATAAAGATATGAGATGTGAGAGGGTACCTGGCCCAGAAATGCTTCTCAGCACCGTCCAGCCTCCTGCTACCTCTCTGTGTTTTGTCTCCTTTTCCTTTATTGTGAATATACCTAAGAAGACGTTCTGAACTGAAATTTGCTCACGGTTCAGCACTCCACAGGTGCCACTTCCCCACACCATCAGAATCTGATGCACAGGGGCTGGAGAAATGGCTCAGCAGTAAAGGAGCACTTATGTTCTGCTCTTGCAGAGGACTCAGGTGCAGTTTCCAAAACACACATTAGTCTGCTCATAACCACCTGCAACTCTGGTTCCAGAGGCTGTGATACCCCTTTTTGGCCTCTATGGGTACTCATACACATATGGTGCACATAAAATTATGCAGACACACACACACACACATACACACACACAAATGATCTTTTTAAAAGGCTGATATGAAGTGGCTAGATGAATAATTTAAATGCACACATGTTTACTATAACCAGCCACTGAAGTCTTTGCAACTATAATGTGTGTATCCTATACATATCTATCCAATGGTGTACAATAGATATGCTCCGAATTGTTTTTAATCCAGGAGAGGAAAAGGTTGGTATTGAAAATTATCTTCCCCTATGTAGAGATCTTCATTTGTTTGGAGTGACAGAAATGTTCTAGGACCTTGTTCCTGTAAGAGTGGTTCTCAGCTAGCTCATTAGGACCATGAGGGAACTTACCAGCAATGAGAATCTCAGGCCAACCTCAGATCTCTAGAACTAGAACTTTCATTTCCCCATAGTGCTGGGTGTTTGGTGGCTGGTATACTCAACTGCTACATATGTGTGTTAAAAC